ATGTATAATATATATTATAATATATAATATTATATATATATATATATATATATATATATTGCCACCATGCCTGGCTAACTCTTTTTTTGTATTTTTAGTAGAGACGGGGTTTCGTCGTGTTGGCCAGGCTGGTCTCGAACTCCTGACTTCAGGTGATCCTCCTGCCTTGGCCTCCCAAAGTGCTGGGATTATAGGTGTGAGCCATGGCACCCAGCCGGAAAGATATTCTTATCTACATTTGAAAAATGATGATAAAACTGACAGCCATATAATTCAGGTGAATTGCCCAAGCTTACAGTAAGCTTATTAACTAATAGGATAATAAGCTTATTTAAGAGGTGCAGTCATGGAAGTGTGATCTGGGATACTTGGCAGGGGTTCTCTCAGGCAATACCTTATAGAGTCACAGCATTAGAGGGTCTGATCTATCTTGTTTCAGGACTCAGTGTTGGATGTGCTTAGCATACCCAGAGGTATCTTCTCTTTGACAGACTTGCTATCTGAAAAATAAACCAGGACACCAATTTTCTAGCATATAATAGAGGACATCCCTTCCCAGCTATTGGAATGCTTGGTATCCTTCCAAGGACTCCTCCTTTAGAGAAGCCTCCCAGAAGTTGCTGGGTAAACATGGACTCAAACCAAGGAAAGTCAGGTAACCTGGGTGGAGGTTCTCCCACCTCCACAGGCAGGGGATAGCTTGCAAGTGTTTGGGCTGCTATTCTCCTAGCCCAGAGCCTCTCTCCCTTGCTAGTGTTAGAGAGATGCTGACCATGTTTACTTTTATTTTCTCTGCATATCCCCTTACCTTAACTTTTTCCCGTTTTTTTGTTGTTGTTGTTGTTTGTTTTTCTGAGATGGAGTCTGACTCTGTCACCCAGGCTGGAGTGCAGTGGCATAATCTTGGCTCACTACAACCTCTGCCTCCCAGGTTCAAGCAATTCTCCTGCCTCAGCCTCCTGAGTAGCTGGGACTACAGGTGCATGCCACCATGCCCAGCTAATTTTTGTATTTTTAGTAGAAACAGGTTTTTCTATGTTTGCCAGGATGGTCTCTAACTCCTGACCTCAGCTAATCCATCTGCCTTGGCCTCCCAAAGTGCTGGGATTACAGGCATGAGCCACTGTGCCTGGCCAACCATGTTCTTTAGACTAGAGTTCAGTTAGTCTCGTTTCTCCAAGGGTCCTGGAAGATAGTGTCCTTCTACCTACCATGTGTGAGTTTACCTGTTGCCCCAATGCAAAGACAGCAAGCCTGAACATAATTGATTCTCAATTTCTTTTGAATTAGTAACTGTTATATATAACAATTCCAATTATTATTATTTTTTCCTACACCTTCCCTAATTCCAATTATTATTAACATGAAAATGTGAGAGCTTCTATTGAGAGAAAAGTAAACTTCAGCATTAGTCTGGCAATATTACATTTTGTGTTTATATAGTACAGAGTAAACTGTCATTACATTAATGCAACCAAAATTCCTAGAGCTGTCCAGAAACTTGGTAGCAATTGTAACATAAACAGTTCATTTTCTAGTTATTTGGAGGCTTGAAAAATTAACACAAACTAGTAGTAATACCTGAACACCAATTGGAACCATTTTTATACAATATGAGTGAATTTTATTCAAAACACCTTTTTTTTTTTTTTTTTTTGAGACTGAGTCTTGCTCTGTCACCCATGCTGGAGTGCAGTGGCACGATGTCAGCTCACTACACCCTCTGCCTCCTGGGTTCAAGTGATTCTCCTGCCTCAGCCTCCTGAGAAGCTGGGATTACAGGCATGTACCACCACACCCGGCTAAAAACACCTTTTAATGCACACACACACAAAGTACAATGAGAAAAGCCTCCAAGTAGAAATAGGCATCAAATGCAAGATAAGAATAGGCGTAATAATATTGTATCAGTTAGTTTTTGCTGCCTAACAAATCACCCCAAAATGTAATGGCTTAAAACATTTATATAGGCTGGGCGTGGTGGCCCACACCTGTAATCCAAGCACTTTGGAGGCCAAGGTGGGTGAATCACCTCAGGTCAGGAGTTC